ATTTAGGTACTACACATCCCTTGCACTATCCAGGCCTTGCCTATCTGACCTTTAGATTAATGCAGGCCCACTGGAAACAGTCTGTTCTGCCCAACTTGTACAATGTGAGCTGGATTCTAAACTCAGTTACACAAGTGTGAATTCAATGTGAATCCACTGACTGGTGTTGGCCTGCATTTCCATAGGTATAACTAAGATTGTACTCAGGCCCCAAACATCACCAGGGCAGACAAATGGTTACTATGACAACATTCACCTGTAATTGATAACTCGATCAGGATATGGGGAGCCTGCCAGCTCATTCACAACCTGGTAGAACGCCAGCATAGATTTGTTCAGCAAAGGCTTTTCTCTTACACCCCCAGCCAACAGGTTCTCAGTAAGGTTCTCTGCTCCAGGGAGATCCACAATTTTCAGCCAGGACCTAACTGGGTAGGGCTCATTAGGAAGATGCTACAAGAGACACAGGAACAGTCAGTCAGAACCCAAGGCAGCTAGTAGTGCCAGGACTGTTGAGTCTCTAGAGTCAGGCAGATTGCTACCAAGAGTTGAGTCACTCGAGTCTCCTCCAAGGAGTTTTTAGGAAATCAACTAAAAGGGAGGCTTGATAGACAGAGGAAATGAAAAGGCATGAAGCTTTCAAATAGATGTGTCTCTCACATCCTTTACTTAAGCAGCTGGGTCTAGCCACCATCAGAGATGAGACACTGGATTAGATGGAACATTGGTCTGATTCATCCAGGGATCCTGGTTTTCTCCGATTTAAGAAAATCCCCAACTTTCAGTCAAGAAAAAGTAACCCCAAATCTACAGCTCTCTCCAGAAAAATGTGGATTTGGGGTTACTTTCTTTTAACTGAAAATTGGGGATTTTTTAAAATCAGAGAAAACCTGTTCACCACAGAAACTTTATGTCTACTCCTGGCATTTCTTTCATTAACACTTAGCAATGGTAAGCTAAATGCACCTGCACATATTATAGGGGACAAAAGAAATAAACATAAGAAACAAAACATTTAGAAACACATACAAACAACTCAGTATTGACACACTACGCAACAACTTACCACCTGCAGGTTGAAATGAGTGATGATGCTGGAATGATTTGAAGTTGGTCCGTAGTCACTCACAGCCCCAGTTCTGCGTGCCCAGCCCTGGCGAAACACTGTAGTGGCTTCTGCTGCTGAGGACACACTCACCAGGGACAGCCCCTAAGAAATGAAAGTGTGTGCCTAGCTGACAGTTGGGCTTTGAGGCCTGAGAACCAAGAGGGATAGAATCATAACCCTCATGTCCTGTGTATCACATCTGACCAAATTATGTAGCAGGATCCTCGGTAACAGAGTTCTTCTCTCCCCACACTGCCCTCACTCCTGCCCAGCCCAGGACATGACAGCCTGTCTGCTGTTTTTTGTATATGTTTGTTTACATGTAATGATTGCTCTTCCCTCCTGGGCAGGGACATACAGACCATAAATTCAGGAGAAGACAACCAAATTCTTCATTCCCCAGTCCAGCACCCCATGAAACACCACGCCAGACCTTAAGACCTGCTCCCCTGCCTCTAGCACTAACATCTACCATCATTTATTACATTAAGCAAGTCCATTAGCAACGAGGTTTCCCGTAACTTGATACAGTACTTTTTGCCACTTAAGTATTGCTCCATTTATCTTAAACCCAAACCCATGCTTTAGTGATAACCTCCATCTCTCTAGTAAGCTGTATACCAGGAGTGGGCAACTATTCAGGCCCATGGGCCACATACAAAGTTTTGGTGAGTTGTCACAGGCTGGGTCAGCACCACCGCCCTCCCCTGCTCCCCTGAGCAACAGCTCACCAAAACTCCCTAACCGGCTCTGCTCTCAGCTGGGCAGCTGGTATGGGGCTGCAGTCAGGTGGAGAACACCATCCAGGAGCAGGACAGGAAGACGGGATCAGGGGTGGGAATGCAGGGTGGTGACAGCATGGGGCCAGGGGCCAGGCCACAGCTGTGACCCACTGCCCACACCCCCCTGTGGCAGGCACCAGTTCTGTGGGGAGGGGCATGCAGGGAGCAGGTGGCAGCTCTGCCCCAGTCGCCAGCCCTTCCCTGTCACCATCCCACAATCCTAGAGTCTCCTTGGAGACTGGGCAGGACCTGCACAGGTAGGACACACAGCCATGTGGACAGGATGAGGCTGTGGGTGAGTGGGGAGCTGCATCCAACACCGGGTCTGGTATCTTGAGGTGATGACAGCATGGGGCCAGGGCCTGGGACAGAGCCACGGTCTGCTCCCTACACATACCTGCTCATAGCACCCACAACTATCGCAAGGCTGTGCGGCCAGCAGATCGCAGCTCTGCTCTGGCCCCAGCCCTGTGCTATCACCACCCTGTGATCCCAACCTTGCCCACCGTTTTGCTCCCAAACACCACTCCCAGTCCTCCTGTGGCTCCATTCCATCTGCCCAGTCATACATCCTGTCCACGTGGGTACCAACCCCAGCAGTGGGTGCAGGGCAGACAGGCCAGGGTGCCTGTGCCATGGGGCCAGGTCTGGCAGTGGCCAGAAGCCACTGCTGCAGGGGCAGCTGGGCATCAAGCCTAGCCACCGCATTACCCCTGCCCCACTGCATGCCTGGGGGAGCAGGACCAGTCACAGGTACCGTGTCCCGGGCTGCCTCTCATGCTTGGGCTGAGCAGGACCAAGGGACCTGCCGCAGGCTGGACAAAATCTTTCGGTGGACAAAATTTGGCCCACAGTCATATTGTGCCCAATCCTGCTGTATACATTGGTGTAAATTTATATCTGGATCTAGACTAAATTTCATAGCTCAGGCTCACGTGTCATTCATCAAACCCCAGATAACACAGCACAGATAACAAATAATAAAGGACAATTTGTGTTTTTGATCTCTAAAGTCTTTCCTGTCCCTTCAGGGAATGGAAACAACACAGGATCCAACAGAAGGGTAAGCTACTTGAACTTTGGCCAAGTTCCAGGGGATGAGGAGTGACCTTCCCCAAACTCTCTTCTTCTAAAGGATCTGTTGTATGGAAAGAAAGGCAAATTCAGAAGCAAAACACATTTTAAAGTTAGTTCTTCCAAGGGCCATCTGTTTGCTCAAATTCACTAATGTCCCCAAAGGTGTTAGGGCGTGTCCTGCATTGTCTAATGGCCACTGGAATGGCACCAGTGAGCTTCAAAGAGGGCTTTGCCAAGTTCTTCTAAGCCTTATTGTGGCAGGGCGCTAGTTGTGCCTGCCACTTCAAGGGCCTGGAGCTGGCAACTGCCAGGTGCCTGATGAGGGCAGCCATTTTGAATCTGGGGCTGCCCATATAAACAGAGCAGTTCTGCTGCTGGAGGCCAGGCAACAACATCATCTGGCCGGAGGGCTCCTGGTGTCATCAGGAGGCTCCTGGTCCTGGGTATGACCTAAAACTGCACCCTGCCGGGAGTGGGTGGCCTGGTGGGGCTCTCAGTGGTGCAGGAGCGCCCAGGAAATGCCAGGCCAGTTACCACCCTGGTGGTTGGGACGCCTTAACCCCTAGCCCCCACGATTGGGTGGGTTACCCCTTGTTTGGAGGACCTGGAGGGTGGATCCCTGGAGAGAGAGAAAGGCCATAGACTCAGGCCTGTCGGAACTTCCCCCGACTGGTCCATGCTGGGGCCAGGACCGGAAGGGTCAAAGGGGCGGGGGCCCACTGCAAGGGATGCCCAAGAGCTGAGGGCCTGGGCTTCCGGCTGGCCTGGAGGTGGGCCAGGGCTAGTGAGCTGAAGGTCCTGGGAGGGGGACCACACCCAGAGGGGAAGCGGTTCAGGGAGCTATGCTGCCCAGTATGAAGGTGGATGAGACCGCCTGAGAGGAATCCAAGCGGGGTTCAATCAGGAGGATTCTGGGGCCCAGTGTGGGGCCCAGGATGATAACATCGAGATGCCATTTGTGAGGTTTGGGCTGCAGTGTAGGGGAGGAAAGAAGCTGCAGATAGTGCCCCCTGGCATTGGGGCAGGAAATGGGCAGCCTCCCACTTGATTAACATCTATTAAATAATTAACAAGGTGTGGCAGGCGAGAAGGCGGGCAGTTAGCCCAGAAACAGGTGGATGGGCCACAGTTAAATCAGCCCCAAGAAGGTCCCGTTACATTTATCTACACCCAGCAACAGTTCCAACTCCCATTGGGGTAGTTGCACTTTGTCTAAGTATAAGCATGGAGAAGTTTGTCCCAATGGATCTAATTGGTTATAAACTGGATAATCCCCAATTAACTCAATACCAAATCTAGTCTGTCTTTGTACACATGGTGCAGCTACACCAACTGCCAGTCAGCAATGACTAGGCTGGCGTATATCCCCAAGCATATATGAAACTTTAGTGAGGGAAATGGAGGCTGTGATGTGAGACCATAAATAAAGGTGGGTTGCAGGACACGAGGTTAAAGCTGGAAAATGTTAGTTAGTTGTGAAGAACTAAAGAAATGCAACTTTTTGACACCCACGAGTTCATTTGCCTAATCTCTTCTCTATCAGTCTTTTGAGTTTAGACAAGAAACTGTCTCATGTGATGATAATCCTTGAAAAATCCTTGCTTCCAGAGAACAAGTCTGAGTGACTTCTCAGTGTCTGGTCAAGCCTAAAGCCAAAAAACAGAGATCAAACAAAAAGAGGAAGAAAGAAGGGATAGTTACCTTGATATAGGCTCCATCTTGAGCAGAGTATGCCAGCTCTAAATTAGTGGCATCAGGTCCAGGTTTCTGGAGAAGATCTTTCAGCACCTCAATATGTATTTCATACATGGACATAGAAAGGGACCAAATGGCAGACCCATTCTGGCACTTGTGAGATGAAGAACCTAATGAAACATGCAATTATATCTTATCCTCCTGCAAAAGCAATGGAAAATACCATGTCATTTCATTAGCTAATTAAAACAGGGACGGCTATTCCCAGTCTTTTTCTACCTACAGCCTCCTGGAATGCCAAGTTCGCACATCCATGTACAGATGTTGGGATAGACAAAGTGCACTGGCTTTATCATGCCAGTGCTTGGATCTCAGGGCATAAACTCTGAGTCTGATAAATCACATACTCACATCTGCTAAATCTAAAATGCCATTTCCATTGCGGCTTTTTTTCTCCTGCACTATGCTGTCAGTTACAGCTTTTTAAAAACCATGTAAGTCTTGCAAATAAAACCTTTGGTGGGAATGCTAAACTATGGTGGGTGGTAAAAATTCAACCCATATGAGCATCTGAAATTTACAAAACAACCCCTATTTTTATAACAGATTGAACCAGAAAATCCAGCCCACAGTGTGAATATGTGAAATCTAGGCCTTTGTGACTCAGCCCTTTCTCCCAGTCAGCCACCCTAGAGCACAGCACGGTAGGCCTAGTACAAGCACTGTGGACACATGATAAGAATTTCTGAAAACAATACATGTCCCTTTGCATCTGAAGGGAGGTAAGTGTTTCTTGTTGCTAGTGGACATCTATAGGACTCAGTTGTGTTTAACAAGCATATTCACTGAGTGTATCCCAGGCAATTGGTTTGGTTCGGTTCTGGAGGAGCTGAAGAACCGATCGGAGATTTTTGGTGCTCACCAAGTGTTAATCTCTTTTCAGTCAAAAGCTCCCCAAATAGGTTATCAATTATCAGAGGGATGAGGCCTGAGCGGTCACTTCTGTCACCCGTCAGCAAGTGCCACTTCCTGGAGTCAGACTCTCCAAAGGTCATGAAGTTCACATTCATCCCCTCAGCAAATATGCTCAGCAATGGCTGCAAGGCCTTGGAGAAGACAGTTTGTGTGGTGGCTCTACCATCAAACAGCTCCTGAAAACTGAGCAGAGAGAGCAGGAGTTGGAGGAATTGTCTGGGAAACTATTCAAAACAGTGATGGGGAATTAGTTGCTAGAGCTGTGGGAACCCACTTGTCAATCAACAAGAATTTGTGAAAGAAAAAGAAAAAAACCACATCTTGGAGCACAAGAGTTCGAATGCTGGATATATAATGCTGGTATCTTCTATGGTGAGTGGAATGAAGTACTAGGGGGAGAGAAGTCAGATTATTAAGGCGCCAACACTGACCCACTAGGCGACAACCATTTGTGAAGCTCAACTACTGACACAGGGACAGAATTTGAGGGGCAAAGCAAACGCTGGAGCTTGAAGGCACCAGGGCAGTTAATAGTGGCAAAAAGAGGAGGAACTGCAGAATGGGAGAATGATCCTGTCCTTTCTCTCCCTCAACATGCACCAAAAATTGGGGGATCTGCTTCTCCCTTCCACCAGAGACCACATGCACTACAAAGGTAATTTCTATCCCTTTGCAAGGATACCAGTGGTTCCACATATAGATCACCCCAAGGCAGCTCTACTGGTGGCCTAAGAAGAGCTCTTCCTCTACCTCCCTTTCTAGAGCGGTAGAGTCACAAACGCTCAGCGGAGAAGGGGCACGATGAAAGACAGGAAGACTGGAGAAAACAGGAGCAAGCGGCAGTGGCTCCACCGCACCTGAATGAAATCCCTTCTCCACCAGGGGCCACAGAAACAGCTTTTCCGGACCAGGGGATGTGCAGCCCGAGCTCCTGCTCCCCCGGCCGACTCGGACGGATCCTCCCAACCACATCAACGTTCATCCCGAGGACGCTGGGGCCGGAGGGAGAAGCGGGAAGCTGAGGCTGCTGCAGGCGAGGCCGGAAACCGCGGCGCTTCCCGGGCCCCTCGCGCGGCGGTAGCAAGTGTTGGGCAAAGGCAGCGTCTGACGCCGAGGGCTGCAGCTGAGCGCGGGCCGGGGTCTGTCGGAATAACCAGGCCGCCACTGTGCTTGGCCCTTTGCTACTCTCCCGCCACCGCTTTCCCCCGGACTCGCGTCCTGTCTCCATGACAACCGCGGGGCGCGGCAGTTCCGGGAGAGGAGCGGAAGTGGACGCGTCAGGAAGTGTGTCTTTTGCGCTCCGCCTCCCCGGCTGTTGGACGGACAGGCAGGAGGGACAAACAACACCACGAGGTGGACGCGTGTTTTCCCAGTGACCGAGCTGTGCCCGGGCGGCGCTGGGCGGACGCGGATTCCGTCGTCCCACAGGCTCCGCCGGGGACTTGAGGCAACAGCGTCCCGCGCAGACCCGGCGTCCGCCCCAGGGCAGCTCCGCTCCTGGCTCCCGGGGCGGGATCGGGCCCAGCACCTGGAACATAACCCAAGGGAAAACCTAAGAATCTCTAGGCCTAAGACCATTGATTTGCCCTTCCTATGGGTAGCACTATAAGTGTCCATTATTCACTTCTCCCCTTTACAGAAATGTAACATGGTTTGTAGACTAATAAAGGGAATGGTCTTTATTCATAAATGAAAAACAGCTGCACTGTATGTTCCTAAGAGACTGACAGGACTGAGGTGAAATTCATAGGTAAAAGTTAAATCTTTTGCACATGCTTTGGGTGCTTATGCCAGCACTTACCTGAGTCCAAGCAAAGCCATGCTAGTGTATAGTTCAAGGAGCCTGCTAGTTTTCAGGCCTTTGTTATGTTACCTCATCTATTGACATCACAAAGAACTGCTGGCCACTGAGTCCTTCACTTTGCTGGTAGCCCTCCTTGAGTGGGGTGCACCACTGAATACAAGAGGGAGAGCGTGCCTTTCCATGAACACGAATGGAAGTGACCAGATACCAATTCTCCAGGACAACAAACTCCTCTGAGGAAAGGTAAAACAAATACCTGTCCATATTCCTGTTCCCGGGCTGGCTCCCTGGAACACACGGGATTTCAGCAAACACTCAGAGTGCATTTGGTCACATTCTGACACCTATAGTTAGAGTCTGAAATCCACATCAGATGTCTTACATATTTAAGAGCCTTCATGAAGTTTTTGGCATGCATCTATTGTCTCCACCTCTGAAAGCAATTGCAAGTTTGATAGATAAAGTAACTACAGATGTAACGTACTAAACAAGTTTGATAAAATAGTACATGATGATGAGGACAGAGCAGTCAGATAAGCAATTTTTATCACTTGGTAAGCTAAGCCCATTCAAACAAAATGCATGTTGGTACAGCCCAATGCAAAGTTTATCAGAACTCATAGTAGAGATGACATCTTTTATTAGACCAACAAGATTTTTGCAAACAAATTCTTTAATTGCAATTAAAGATTTTTTTTTTTTTTTTTTTGCAAAAATCTTTTTGGTCTAATAAAAGATATCATCCCTACTCAAGTCCTGATTGCCTTTTCCTCTAAACTAATACAGCTACAACCTGGATACCCAATGCTAAGAAAAAGGCATGCAGGTCAGGTTGTAGAGTGGGGGACTGCACCCTGGAAAATGGACTCCCAAGAAAGCTCTGGGGGTCACCCTGAACAAGCAGCTCAACAGAGTTCACTAGTAAGACAGCATGATTAAAAGATCTAATGCAATTCTTGGATGTTTAAACAAGGAAGTAGCCATCAGGAAAAAGTGATTTTAGCACGAGCATTAGTGAAACCAGTACTGAAATTCAGCCTGACGTTCTGGAATCTACATTTTAGGAAGGATAAAAAAAATGGAGATGGTG